TGGCAGAAGCTGGGACAAGTCACGGGAGCTCACTCCGTTACGCGGCGCTCGGGATTCAAACTGCCGACCTTTCTGATCAACAAGCTCAGCATCTTAGCCATGGGGTCACCGCGTCCCTAAATGACTTTATATGGGGATGATATTTTATTTATATATATTTGTTTTTTTTGTATAGAATATTCAGTATTGGCTTCCCATATTATTTTTCCCTAACCTGTTCAGTATTTATGGATCACTTGACTTGACTATTTCTTCGTACATCATCAAATCGAATTACCGCAAAATTATTCTAATGATTTCTTTTTCAATAGACACGATCTATTCACGGGAAGAAGAAACTGTTATGACACACAATGTTCAACTCGTAATTTTTCCACTTCAAATATCAGCGAAGTAGGACTTCTCTTTGAATTAAAATATCGCTCTGCCAGAGCAGACTAATTACAGGTTGAATTTACAGGGAAATAAAATTAGACTCGCTTCCATAGGGCTACCTAAGAACGGATGGGAAAATTTATTTTTGGTATCATCCCTTACGGATGCTGACCCATAGCTCCTGTGGTGGAAACACCTCAAAGGGGTAAAAGGAGATCAGACGTTTGAGTACAAAGCCGTTGTGTTTAAAATGACGCACCCCTTTTCTTTAATTCCGGCTAACAATCTCGTTTCGGCTTTCCAGCGTTCAGGTTTGGATTGCAGTTTTATTTTGTACTTTTGCAATTTATTTTGCAGTTCAGGATGCTCCCCTTCAGGATAATTACGCTTAAAGGAAAAAAAGGAGGAAAGAAAATACTTCTTCTAAGCAAATCTGCACTTCATTAGCATCGAGTTGTGTTCCTCTTGTTCCCCCTTCTGGCTAGCAAATATGACAATTCCGTTGCAATGCGCCTACCGAGGATCTCAGCAGGAATGTGTTTTGATTGGTCGTATTTGCCATCATCCTTCCTTTGTCCCACTTTCTCACATGCTAACTAACTAATTCTAAGTGAGCACAGAACAGATACAAACTCAAGGTCAACCGCTCCAAACTTGATTGCAGAAAATACGACTTCAGCAACAGAGTGGTCAATGCCTGATCCTTTTTGTTTCATCCCCCAAACCCCATAACTTTAACTTTAACCTGTCTACCGTTGACCTCACCCCCCTCCTAAGAGGTCTTTAAGGGGCGCACATAAGCGCGTCAACATTCCTACCATCCCTCTCCTACTGTCTCCATTTATTCATACCCATTTCATCCGTACTCATGTTTATCCTTACACCTATTATCTTGCAAGCAAATACATAAAAAGAAAATAAATAAATAATGTCGCCTGGGATTCCCAATGACCAAAAATGCTGATGTCCAAATCTGCCATCTTCAGCTTTTGCGCTTTGCTGGCATCCTGCCATAAAAGGCAGTGGGGAGGAGAGTGGGGGCAAAGGAATGTAGAGAGCAAGATAATAGGTGTAAGGATAAACATGAGTACGGATGAAATGGGTATGAATAAATGGGGACAGTAGGAGAGGGATGGTAGGCACGTTGGTGTGCTTAGGCGCGCCCCTTAAAGACCTCTTAGGAGTGGGGTGAGGTCAACGGTAGACAGGTTAAAGTTAAAGTTATGGGGTTTGGGGGATGAAACAAAAAGGATCAGGCATTGACCACTCTGTTGCTGAAGTCGTATTTTCTGCAATCAAGTTTGGAGAGGTTGACCTTGAGTTTGTATCTGTTCTGTGCTCA